AGATATGGGGCCGATTTTTCGAATGTACAATTTAAGAATTTTATTTACACCAAAATAGCAGTACTTTTTTTTCCTTTATAGCAATATTTAAAAAAAAAGGATTTCCAACTCAGCCACGATAATCGCTATTTCCGTATGTTACTCCAAAAAATTTTAATATGTTATTGTATTTTAGGGTATATGATTAATTGGTGTAGAAATAAGTAAGAAGACTTTTCTAATTGATTTTATCATAAAAAGTACCAATTTGAAAAATTGAATTGGTATGTTATCCGGAGCATATGATGGTATATTTTGTTGTTACTAACTAACACCAAGCCTATAGCATGATGTTAAGTTGGTGTATTTTTTTGTTCAAATTATATTATCTTCATGACTTTTTTTAGCAGGTAACTACATGAATTTTATGTAGATTTTTTTTAAAAAAATATCAAAATTATACCCAACAAATTATAACTATTATTGGGTCATGTTATAGTTGTTAAGTTGGTGTGTAAAATAAACAGAGAACACTTCATAAAAAAATGTGAAGATGATAAGAAAAAGGATTTAAGAAAGAGATGAAGACGATACTGAAGAAGAAAGATTGTAAGACCAAAGTGAAGAAGAACACCAATTTGAAGAAGAAGATGAATGGTAGGAGAGAGTTTCTAGAATAACTCAGATACCTATTGAAAACGATACCAATTTTCTTGGTACCATAAACATAAGTAAATAAAATAAATAATTCAATTACACCAAAAAATAACTCAACACGTAAAAGGAAAAAAATGCTTAATGTGTGAAAAGAATTTGTAATATTTCTAGAAACTATAACCAATTTTATTCGTACCACAAATCTGAATGTAAAAGAATCCAATTAATAACTACACAAAACATAAAAAAGAAAAATATCAAAACATAAAAAAGAAAAATAGAAATTAAAATTTTTAAAAATGTGTGAATGTGGGTGTGTTTACTAAGATAGAGAATAATTGATAATTAAATACTAAAATACACTCCACTAAATATGACACAATCTACTAAAAGTCAGAAAGAGAAAATTCTGGAAAAAAATAAATGAAAAAACAAAAAATTAAATATTTTGTGATGTATGTAATTTAAAATTTTAGTTTGTAATTAAATATAAATAGTCTATATTTTGTTAATAATAGTCTTAAGTAGTATACTTTTGTAATAATTTTATATGTGTATCCCACCAAATTTGGTATTTGAGACTTAGCCGAGATATCAAAACTTCCAATTGAGGTCATCTCAATGAAAAATAGGTCTCACACCCACAATTCATTTTAAGACCATCTTCAATCCCACTCTATTTTACTCTCCATTGTCTATGTATGGAGAGTAAAATAGAGATTTGGGTCTCCAACCACTCTCTAAAAAGTTCCTTATTTTTTATTTAGGGATAATGCACAAGTACCCCCTCAACCCGCCCGAAATTTCAAAGACACACTTATATTATACTAAGGTCCTATTACCCCTCTGAACTCATTTTATTAATAATTTTCTACCCCTTTTTTTGCCTACGTGACACTATCTTGTGCGCCCAATGATGATTGACTTTTTTTTCAACCTGTTAGCTTACCAGCACGTGACAATCCGATCCCATTGTATGCTGAAAAATGACAATCGATTCAATTTTATGGCATAACGTGACAATTTGGTTCAAGTTAGCTTGCTGGAAGACAATCTGATCTCCAATCACACACCACAATCACAATTACAAGTACTTCATCAATGATTATACATTAGTTCATGATTTCATGGTAATGACAATCACACATCATATTTTCAAAGTCTATGATCAATATTATAACATGCATACATAAACAAGTATCACAATGAACCAATACAAGGATATATCACACATCATAGAATGACAACCATCACCTACCTCGAAACAAGCTTGAAACCCTAGACAATTTGATCCTTCCCTTTCTGGATTCATTCCGCTTGTTCGTGGTCAACAATCAACAATTTATATACGAAAATCAATAAAAAAATTCCAAAAAACTCACAATCTATGAACCCTAGTTCTAAGCCCATGAACCCAACTAGACAATTAGGGTTTCCACCATAGGATTCTTCAAGAAATTCTTTTCCATCAATATTGACCCATTTTAAAATGTTCTACGGATTGAAAAACGAATTCGGAGAGAGAAAAGTTTACCTATAGCTCCAAGAATGGTGGAAAACAAGTTGGAATAGCCCAGGGGTCTTCTCTCAGCTCAAAAAATTGAAAAATACAAAATAAGGTCGTCTAAGGATTTTGTTTATGAATTTTAAACCCGTCCTCCCACTACAGTGGCACACATCTCGCTGTAGCAGCGTCGCTGTAGCTACATTTATCCCGCTGCAGCGTCACAAAGCGAACCAGTGAACTTCCCTTGAAAAATCCCAAAATCTTTTCATTCCATCCATATCTGCCTAGCCCGCTACAGCGACACCCCTTCCTCTGTAGCGGAGTTGTTGCAGCGGCACGACGAGAGGCAGTGAACTCCTTAAGGGAATTTCACTTCTCCCTTTTTACAACACCCACTTAACTCATTACACTTAGAAAATGCCCTTAACGCCAAAATTAATTCCCAACGATTTACTTTTTCGAATATAATTCTGTAAAGTTGAACGGATTCTTTAATGAGTTATCTAACCGATTATGTAATCAAATTCACATTTAAACATTTTGATTGCTAGCAGATTTCTTTACATCTTGATGACTCTAAATGCCTCCAAATCTGGACAAGGCTGGAAAATTATAGTACTATGAAAAAGTTTTTTTCGGCCCTAATATTCCCCATTGACATTTCTATAACGATAAATCTCGGTCTTTACAATTATATTAGATGAAATTATATAGGGTGATTATTTTTAAAAAAAATAAGTAACGGATTTATATTATGAAATAAGAAAATGAAATAGAAATAGAAATAATAATACAGTATTGAGGAGAGAGAATTTTTTTTTTTAAGAGTAAAATAGAGAATTGAGTTGAGTTTGCTTGTCTCGAAAGATTAAAAAAACTCTATATTTGAAGAGTAAAATAGAGTGTAGAATTGGAGATGTCCTAAGCCAACTTTCACATGGGGGCTCGAAATGAGCCCATAAGCTAGGGATGACAATGGAGCAATGTAGGGCAGGGGTGGTGCATGTTGAGCATAACCTGCAAAAAATTTAATCCGCCCCGCCCCGCCCCGCATGGAAACACTTTTCATTTTCACCCCGCCCCGCATTAATTTTTAATACGTTTTTTCTAGTTATGTTTGATACTAAAAAATAAAATTCATAAAAATAAATTCATTTTTCATTAAGTTGTATTAATTTAATAGGATAATGACTTAAAATTTTATTTTTTTAGAGGTCAATTAGGAAACATGCACGAAATTACATTATTTTTTATTGAACCATTTACATTTATTATCTTGAATATTTTAGTAACTTTAATGAAGTTGCCTGAATAAATAATGTTCTAACACTCTATAGCATGTAAAAAGTTAAAATCAAATTTGAACCTACATAAAATCACATATTCTCGCAACTCGCCACGCCCCACATTAATTTTAAGAAAATCGACTTTGACCCGCCCCATATGATCTTAAACTCACCCCGCCCATGTATCCTTAAACCCACCCTACCCAGCCCCGCCCCATTACCCATTCCTACCAGAAGCCTCAAGATCCATATTGAAGGTACTTCTAAGCCAAACTAAGTGTTTCAAAGCTAACAAAACTGTCGAAGTTTCATTCTGAAGTCGTCTACTTGACATTTGAATGATGTCAATCGTTCAAGTTTCAAAAGCTTCAAATTACAAAAAAAAAAAAACTATACAAAACCCAATAGAATGACTAGTCGATCGAGCTGTCAGTCCTAGCAAATCACAAATATTTTAGGGTTACTACACAAAAAAGCTCTAAACACTTAAAATACCAAAACACAGAGAAAATGACATGGAATGTCATTATAAAATATTTGTATCTAAATTTTATCTTTACCTTTAAAAAGTGATATTTCTCATTTCAAGTTGTGATTAATTCATATACCAACCCAAATTGACTATTCTATATAATTTATTCATTGATCATAGGTTCTATATTTGAATAACAATCACTTTATACTTCTTGTGGAGTTACAATTTGAGTGTATCAATTATATGGTCAAAAAGTTTTAAATTAAGGAGGTAAAGGTCTACCAAATTTATATGGATATTTTGGTCCAATAATACTACATTCGTCTAACAGTAGTTGTTCACTGTAATAATTTGGTATGTCTAATAATACTTGTCCATTTTATCTAATCAATTGATAATTTTACACTTAATTCCTAATTTACCTTATCATTAATTATAGTCATTCTCTATTACATTTTTCAAAAATTGTATTTATTATATTCATAGAGTGATATAGTAAACGGGTAATGCTAAATGACCAGAAATTTAAAAAGTCTATAATATCTTTTTTATTTTAAAATAAAATAATATATTTTTTATTTTTTTAATTAAAAGATATTAAAGTTAAAAGGATAAAAATATTGAAAAAAATAAAATAAAATAGTGTGAAATATATTATTTTACCATTCTAACCAAATTTTTTGATCAAAAAAGTTTTTCCATGATAAAATTATTCTTCTATATATAATTTTTTAAAAAGATTGCAAAAGTAAATTGAGTACTAGCATTGTTGGAGAAAGTGAGTATTATACTCTTAATAGTTTCAACTTTTATATTAGGCACTATTCTCAAGGAAATAATTTCCCACGCACGGAAAACTATACTCCCTCCTGTCATTTTTACTGCTTCAATTTTAATTTTTTACTTAGTTATTTTTACAAATTAAAAAAAAAAATCTTTTTATCTATTATACTCTAGTTTATTTAGAGCATTAATGATTTAGAAAAAGGCTGAACATCTTTAATTAGTAAATTGATTTTGTTACCCAACTCACCCTTAGATATAAATATTATTAGTTAGACCTGTTTCACGTTTTGTCTTAAATTTCAAGCTACCCACCGCCAACAAGATTACTTTCAATATTAATGTTTCGTGTGGTTTATGTTTCTACACAAAGAGTGGCCTTTTCACTTGTTCCCACACTCACTCATCTTTGTAGATCTTTAATTAAGAAAGAAGAATGGCTCAAACAACACCTAATCACACACAAACTGTTTCTGGTTGGGCAGCTCATGATTCTTCTGGCAAAATCACACCTTTTATTTTCAAGAGAAGGTACATAATGATTCACTAGTTCTGTATAAATTGTTGCAAAACAAATATTTATGCTAATCTATTTTCTTGTTTACTTATATATTTGGTAGAGAAAATGGTGAGAATGATGTTACCATTGAGATCTTGTATTGTGGAATGTGTCATACGGATATTCATCATGTTAAGGATGACTGGGGCATTACTAAGTACCCTGTTGTGCCTGGGTACGTACCTATCTATCTTTATGTCTTTATGCATGTTACAAATTGAAAATGAGGCATCAATTTTCCTAGTTTAATTTTACATGTTGTGCATATGATTTTATCTGTGATCTAAAATGATGTTACTAGATCCAACATTACAGAACAAACAAAATTTTATCAGTAATAAATATGCACATTATTAATAAAGAATACTAAAATCTTTGTCAGCATTATAAGTTAATTGTCATCGGATCGAATGTCGCTTCTGACTTTAGCGATAATTACAAAAAGTGCTAAAATGGAATTGTTACTAGTAATAATTGCCTCTAAGAAACATATTTAGTGGCAATTAATCTACTGTCTTTAAAGATCCTTTTGGTGTAGTGCGATGATCTTTTGAAAACAATTTCTGCTCTCACCTATATTGTATCCTCTTAAGATCTTATTTATGAAATTACATTGAGTATATTATTGTTATTGTACAATATTAACCTATTTCATCATAGATAATGTTATGAGCACATAGGATATCATGCAAAATTTTATATAAAATAAACAATTAGAAGCATTGAGATGAGCTATGCAGAAGCCTAATTGGAGCAATGTTAAATTTCTCTCCATGCATGTGAGTTTATAATTATAATATGTAATGGGTTCGAGTATTGATGCTTGCATCAAGATAAATTGTCAACATTACAATATTTTTGTGGAATGCAATTCTTCCCTAGACCCTAGGTGAACGCGAAATATTTTGTCCAACTAACCTGATAGCTCTTTTTTTTTTTGTGTGTGTTGAAGGCATGAAATTACTGGGTTTATAACAAAGGTGGGAAGGAATGTGAGTAAATTCAAGATAGGAGACAGAGTAGGGGTAGGTTGCTTGGCAGCAACATGTTTGAAGTGTGAGTATTGCAAGGGGTCTCAAGAGAACTACTGTGACCAAGTGGAATTCACTTATAATGGCATCTTTTGGGATGGTAGCATCACTTACGGTGGCTACTCAAAAATGCTTGTTGCTGATCATAGGTATTCTCTTTCTTCCGATTATGTAATGTTGGTTGGTTTGTCATAAAGTTTCAGAATTAAAAAATAATCATCGAACACTCACCAACAAGGTGAAAGTTTAGATAATCAAACAACTAGGTATTTTTTTTTAAAAAAACTAACTAGTAAAGAATGTGTCGGTGAAAAGAAGGAAGTCAAAATTGAATACTCAATAATATGTTTTTTCCCTCATACTTTATTAGTAGCCCCCAACCAACTATGTTGTTGGTGAGCAAATAAGATGTCGGTACACTTGTTACTAGAATTTTTTTTCTAAAAAAATAAGATGCAGATTTTGTACACGTAATTTGAAAGATCTTTAACTTTATATCTCTTTAAAATATTACTCTTTTACGTATTTTGAAAGATCTTTAACTTTATATCTCTTTAAAATATTACCAAGAGTATTCCAAACCATCAACTTTGTATATAAAGTTAGAGGTCCCATGAATATCTATATAAAATATTAGATCATGTGCATATATTAAAAAATTTAGTAACGAGTGTACCAATAGTATTCCAACCCAACCCAACCCCTGTGTAAAGTTAAAGATTCCCTAAAAATATATGAATATCAAATTTGCATCTACTAAAAAAACAGTGAATTAGTAATGTTACAATGAAACAAACAATTTCAACAAAAAGGAGTTTTATATTCAAAAAGAAGCCAAAAAAAATAAAATACATATATCGAACGGGGTATTAACGAGGGATCTCGAGTTTGAGTAAGTCATGGTGGAGCGCTTTACCTTCTCAATACGAAACTTTTCATGCGAATTCAGATTTAGTGAAGGGTCAACGTAAATACCTTAAACAGATCATAAAAACCTCAAATTTTCTTAATATACACTCCTTTTTTTGATTAACATGAAGGTACGTGGTATGTATACCAGATAACATGGCAATGGACAGAGCAGCCCCATTATTATGTGCAGGAATAACAGTTTTTACTCCTTTTAAAGACAATAATTTGGTGGATACAAAAGGTAAAAAAATAGGAATAATAGGTCTTGGTGGACTTGGACATGTAGCTGTCAAATTTGGAAAAGCATTTGGACATCATGTCACTGTCATTAGCACCTCTCCATCCAAAGAACAAGAAGCCAAACACAACTTAGGTGCTGATGATTTTATAATAAGCACTAATCCCAAACAAATGATGGTTTGTTCTCATTACCTTCCTAATACTACATCTTTGCCATTTCAATAGTTAATTCACTCCATCAGTTTCAAAAATAATGATCTACTTTCTTTTTTTAATATGTTTACAAAAGATGTGACTCGTTCCTTTTTGGTAGGGAAAAGAACAAATATTATATATATATATGAAACTATCGTAAATGGCATGCACATGCTTCCATCATACTTTTGGGATATTGATGCCCCTACCGTCAAAAAACTAGAGTAAATATGCCCTTCACTCTAACGGAAGACTAAATAGGAAAACATGACATAATCTTATTCATCGATCCGATATTTAATGCATGTTGGCTCGGTGGGTAAGATTATGACATGTGTATGTCCGTTAGTATAAAGGACATCTATGCTCTAATTTTTAAACCGTAAAGACATCAATGTCTCAAAAGTATGACGGAGGGTATTTGCATACCATTTATGATAGTTCGAGAATATATTTGTCATTTTTTCCTTTAATTATGACAACATTTTTATTTGGCATAATATATAAATATGACCTGTAACTAGGGGTTAGCTGACAATTATGACATTTTACTTTGAGTGTACACAAGTAGACACCTAAATTTTAATAAAATTGAACAAATAGATACGTTCGTCCTACATATCATGTAGGACATTAGTGTTTACTTGTTTAATTTTATACAATTTTAAGTGTTTACTCGTGCACACTCAAAGTTTGAGGGTGCATATAGTTGTCCGTTGAAGTCAAGTTAAGGGTCATATTTATGTGTGGTGTCTTTTAATTTCAACTTTTCACATAACATGTTTTAGACCACAAGATTAAAGGAAATTTTTTTAAATTTAACATAACATTAATTATGGATTACAAGATTGAAAAGTCTTGTTTATTCTGTTAGACTCTGTGCAAGTCAAATTATGTCATTCTTTTTGAAATAAAAGAATATTTTTGCATTTTAATTTCAGGAAAAGAAAAGAACTCTTGACTTTATTTTGGATACAGTATCAGCCAAACACTCACTTGGGAGTTACTTAGAGCTTTTAAAAGTGAATGGAACTTTGGTGATTGTTGGAGCACCAGATAAGCCAATTGATTTGCCTGCTTTTCCTATGATTTTTGGAAAAAGAACAGTGAAAGGAAGCATGATAGGAAGTATAGAAGAGACACAAGAAATGATGGACTTATGTGGAAAACATAACATATTAAGTGATATAGAGATTATCACTACTGATCAAATTAATGAAGGACTTGAAAGGCTTGCTAACAATGATGTTAAGTACCGTTTTGTCATTGACATTGCTGGTCCATCTTCTCATCTTTAATTTGAAATTTATATATTTATTTTTGTGTGTGTAATTTACATTTCATTTAATTCCGATTCCCTGAATTTGTATTTCTTAATATTATGATGTTGTTCATTTACACTTTGTTTGGTGGTTCATGATGTATCTTATTTCTATTGTTTAGTGTTGTATTTTATCGTATTGTATTGTTTTAATGAATACAATGATTGGATAGATTGTATCGTTTCGCTTATTACATTTCTTTTCCGTCTTGCTCAATTTTTCATCTTATAATTTTTAAGTATTTACTACTTTATACTTCAAATTCACTCCCTTCACAAAAATCTTGGCTCCGCTATGCCTACCATAAACAGAGAAAAGACAATAAAAGGGAAGTTGATGAAATCACGTGAAGTTATTTATGTTTTGTAAAAGCCCAACTACCATATCAACTTGACTTACTATGATATAAGGCAAGACAATTAATGTACATATTTGTTGTGAAAGCAACTGGCTTCATTTCAAGCTATCCTATTTATTTTATTTTTATTTTTTTGGTATTAGGGTTAGGCTTGACCCCTGCTCAATTAATCCAAAAAGTTACAATTGTTACAGGGGGACTTGTACCATATCCCTAATCAATAGATTATATCATTAAGAGTGAAGGCGTAGTCCATTCAATCTCCTTCTCTGTGAAGAAAAAAAAAGGAAAAAAGCGTAAAATACTTTTAAATTTTAAAAAATGATACAAAATTATTTTTCTGTGACCGTCCATTGATTGACTCAAAAATAGCCATCTCATTCATTTTTGAGTCAAATATGGATCACTTTTGTAACAGATGATTATTTAATTATTTTTTTTAAAAAAAATTAAATGCATGATGGCGGTCTATTAGCTATATTTTAAACTACTTAAATTAATTGCAAACCTACACGCTTCTAATTATACACAATTCAAAGTGTAGTAGGTATCTATAATAGACCTGTCACAAAACCAAATAACTAAAAAAGATTCCTAAGTACAATTAGCAAATTCATTGTTTACAATCAAGGTAAAGAAAAAAAAAAGTTACATACTTTATAACCAAATCGGAAAAGGGTCATATTTTTTCTCATACTCTTATAAAAGGGTTATATTTATTTTGATCATATATTTTTTTATATATTTATCCTTATTATCCAACTTTGAGTACATATTTGCCCTTGGTTGTTAATTCTCATGTCCCTACTTTTTATTATTCTACGAGAAAAAACATAAATTCACTATTAAAGTTGTCTCGTATTTACATAGAGACATCTTAACTTTGAAAGTGTTCTCACTCACCATGAAAAATTAGGAATTGATTAAATAAAAGGCTTCATGGTTAGTTTTGATAAAAACTATCTAGACATTGACCAGCCGGAAATGCATTGAATTGGCGTAAAAATTCTCTTTTTACTATATGTTGAGATGGTTTGATGATGACGAAGAATAAACACCTTTGAGGCAGAGGACGAATCGTGAAGTTTTATTGTTTTCTTGTGAATTATATGAGAATATAAATGCCCCATAAATTGATTTAGAAACAAGGGTACAAATCGATTTGCGCCTATTTGTCGGAATCGAAGAAAGAATTGAACGAGAACGAACCCTTCAATTACTTGGCGACTATTTTGAGGCCGACGATTTGGATTATCATGTGAACTTTTTAATGAATTAAGAAAAAGTCATTGTTATCGTTCTAAGCTTTTTCTTTGATATGCAAACAAGTTGAAGAGAGAAGAAAGGGATTTGTATTATTAGTTGACGGGTTATACGGGTGGGTCAGGACATTGTATTGAAAATGAGAATGGGTCTTTCTTTAAAAAAAATGGGCTAATTTGTGTCAAATTGGGGATTTTCGTCACTTGAGGGGCATAAATAATAAAATTAGTGACGGTAAGGATATAAATAATTTTATTTTAACAGTATAGATATAGTCAACTAATAAATAAAATTGAGGGATACTTTTGACCGTTTTCACTAAATTTAATCTTAATTTAAAATTTATTCTCTAATTAAATATTCTACTTAACTCAATTTCTAAACAGACCCAATAAACTCAATTTCTACCCTTTACCCACGTCACTTTACCCATGAGGAAATATTCATGAGAGAACCTATTGCTATCTAATATAGCAATTATGCGACTTTGTTTTCTTTATTGTTGACTATTCCTCTCAAATAAAGCAACTACTAGCTATATCTAATATAGCAATTATGTGTAGCCAAACTATATTTCTGAAGAGCAAGAACATTTCAAAAGTTGATCCGCAAAATGACCTAAAATACCTTTTATTTATGCGAATTAATACAAAGTTACCCTGGTCAACGTTTTGGGCCTAAAATGTCATCAACGTCAACCGTTTGACGCTATTTTGCCCTCATTTTTAATGGACTAAATCATAACCTAAATAAGCAAGTTCATTAATTATGTGTCACTATCCTATTAGCTACCCTAACAATTAATTAAAATAATTAAAAAAAAACAAATCCAAATCTTATCATTCCCAAAAACTTTCCGGCCAACAATTTGAAGTTGCTACTCTTGGTGCAGTGCATGAGCTGAAGACACGGTAAAATAACTCTTCAGACATCCTCTATTGCCCTACCTGCAAAATTGTACAAACAACAGCAATACCATTAAGCAAGGAAAACATATCGTTCCCTAAGACGTTGTTGGTTATTGAGTGGCAGCAATCAACTTGACAGATGCAACTGTCACACGTCCCCGAAAATCATAAAATTATGCACTACTGAACTCAGTGAATGATCAAGTGACTTTGAGAAAGAGATGCTGCGGAACGACTTCAAAAGATGAGTTAAAACCTCAACAAAATCTCTTTTCCTATCTTGGAGTGAGAATTGGACATATTGGCTCCAAATACATTGTACTCCAGGAACTTCATCAAACCAGTTATCTAAAGCATCTTCAAAAACTCCTACTTGAGTGTGTGAGGATATTACTTATGCACAGCACCAAGAGTAGAAACTTCAAATTTTTGGCTAGAAAAATTGAGTTCAAAAGAGCTTTGATCGATGAAGAAGAGAGGAGATGAGCATATGTTTTAGGTAGAAGAATGGTAATTTTATACCAATTTACTTAGTTGAAGGGTACTTTAGACCTTTTTACGTTTTCAACACACATGTTAGTAATTACCATGAAATTGCTAATTTCCTTTTCCACACACAAATTAGCACAAAATCTAGCAGTAGTAGCTTCTGTTTGGTTACTTTTGGCGCATTGCATTGCCTTAGAGAAAGCCATCACAAAGTCACCTTCACCGAGTTTTTGACCAAAATCATCCTTAAATTATGTCCCACTGTAGACATTGAATTTTTGTGGCACTCTACAAGATGTGTTCAATTCGAGTTGGGACTCTACAAATTGTGTTCAACTCATATTAGGATTCTTGGAGACTACTCAACCCTAAACCCTAGTTCATGCCTATATAAAGCGTATTAAATTCCTCAAGAGACATCCCAGAAATTCCATAAAGAGATCAAGATCTCTAAATATTCCACAAAAGTAATCAAATATTCATATAGAGATCAAATCTAAATTATCTTAGTTCGAAAAATACGCCATTAACGACCCTTAAATCATGGATAAATTAAAGAAGAGTAGAATCAATGGATCAACAAATTTGTACCTATTATCTTGATTAATAAAATCATGTTTCTTCAGATTTTATTAGTGTGGTTTTGTTCATTTTTCATATGTTTAAAATTTGTTGTAAACAAATTGGCACGTCCAGTGGGACCAAATCTGCCCTTCGTCTCTTCTTTCATAAATCAAATATGAAAATATGAAGCCGCAAAGGTGGAATAATGAGTACTTCAAGCCTCGTCTTGAGTATAATCAAGTCTACACTCCGACAAGCCTTGAAGCATGGGGCATTTGTAGACATTGAAATTTTGTGGGATTCTACAAGATGCGTTCGATTCGAGTTGGGACTCTACAAATTGTGTTCAACTCAAATTAGGATTCATGGAGACTACTTAACCCTAAACCCTAGTTCATGCCTATATAAAGGGTATTAAATTTCTTAAAAGACATCTCGAAAATTCATAAAAAGATCAAGATCTCTAAATATTCCACAAAAGTCATGGAATATTCACATAGAGATCAAATCTAAATCATCCTAGTTCGAGAAATACGACACTAACTGCCCTCGAATCATGGATAAATTTTTAGGAGAGTAGAATCAAGGGATCAACAGAATTGTACCCGCTATCTTGATTAACAAAATCATGTTTCTTCATATTTTATTTGTGTGGTTTATTTATTTTCCATATGTTTAAAATTTGTTGCAAGCATCCACTTTTAAACTGCATCCTTAAAGCATCATTCTTAATAAAAAACATCCACAAGAATTTAAAATTGAATAATTTGCATGCTTCTACAGAATCCCACTAAAATCAAGTCATCCCTTCGCAATTATTATTTTTAGATATGCGAAAAATACAATAATGAACTTTTTTGGTAATTGAATCTTTTAATTTGACAAATTTTTTTCATTTGTTTTTCATGTTATTTGATATTAAAATATTATTAGTTGAAGTATGTTTCTTCTCAATTGAATATGCTAGAAGCGATATTATCGGTGACTTACACTTCTAATAATATAGAATGAAACTCAAATGCGAAATATGATCAAATATTTTGATCACTTCAATATCATATTGACCCAAAAAATTTATTGATCTAAATAAAGTTTGACTTTTAAAAAAGTAACGATAATTAAGCTCCAACTTCTTTTCGTTACTAAATGGGAAAATAGCACATCATGTATGCATGCACTTTCCAAACATCTTTTGTTTCAGTCAGTAATAATGGTGTCTTAAGATTTTTAATATTTTATGTATGAAATTTTTTGTTGATAGTCACGTGAACTGCTCATGTCTTTATAAGATCCCATAATATTTTTTAATATCTAACAGAAGGATGAAAATTATTTTTCTTTCAAATACTTAGAAGATGTTATTTTTCCCAGAAATGATATCTTAAGAATGTACTTTAAGTTTGGGGTAAACTTAAAGGATGTGTTTTTTGCCAAAAACTGTCACCTTCTAGGTCATTTTTTTTAGTTTGAAATATTTTTTACCTTTAAGGCATTTCTATAGTGATTCCAAGTTGAGAATGTAAATTCGATCACTTGGTCATTCATTTATTTTTTATTTCAGTTTTCGTATTTTGGAGTTTTTAAAACATGATCAAAACTTCAAGTAAA